TCGGTGTGTGCAGGTTGGATTCAGAAGGCTCGACCGAGAGAAGGCAGGGACGAATCGAATCCCAGAGGGAAGAAGACTGTATTCCGTCGGGGATCGCCACGAGACGGCATTCTGCCTATCCAAGAAACGCACTTCGAAATCGTTCCATCCAACGGCGGGATCGAATTTTCGCTTGCTCGACGGTTCACGCGATACTAGAACCGAGAACACAAAACCTTGTTGTCTTGCACACTTGGAACGATGGCTATCTTCCGGTGATAACGATACTACCTATCGCGATACACGATAGACCAGTCTCTCTGGATTTCGTTTCTCCGACGAATCACAGTTAATCTTCCAATTACTTTTAATCTCCCCTCTATCGGTATCGAAAAATCTAAAGTTTTCGCGTAAAAAATCTTTCCATCGTTATCGAACGAATCCCTCTATGTAATGAGATAATTATTACTATATAATAACTATATATATATATATATATGGAAACATTCTCTTGTTCCAGTTTCTTAGTTACTGACCGATATTATTATAAACGATATACCGATAATTCAAGGTTATTCCTCGGAATCGGAGACGGTTAAGATAAATATATATATATATATATATGTATATTCTCCACGTTTTCGCGATTTTCCAACATGCTAAATCGCAATGAATCTATACGTACCTATAGATCTTGTATATTTAGAGAAGGGGAACGGGTATCAAGCGCCAATCACCGATACGCCACGGCGATCAGCCTTGATCGAGGAAACTATAATCGAGCGAGTGAATGCGGAAACGGCACTTGATTCTGAATAACTTTGCCCGATTTAACGATTTAAATAGTAATCGTCGTTCGAGAAATATTCAAGGTATTGGCTAGGTGTAAATGTTTCGAAAGGGCGATCGGGACTAATGATCAATCTTCGAGATAAAGATAAAGAATTGCATTTTTCGAATACTTAAAACGCAAAACGTTGATAAAAGTTGAAAAATTAATTTTTTCGATATAGCGTCATTTCGATCGAAATAAATATCGCCGATTCTCGGTTAACGAACGATTGAAAACAAGCAATAAACAGTCTCTATCTTATCCAGAGATACTTGTCTGTATTTTTTGTCTGTGTCTTTGCAATAAAATGATTTATAAAAAATAAAAAAAAAAAAAATAAAAAAAGAAAGAAAATTTCAATACACGAATATATTCGAAGGAAATATTCCTTTTTTTCACGTGTAAATTTTTTTTTTTTTTATATATATATAAATTATCTTAACAATAAAAAAAAAATAAAAAAAGAAAGAAAATTTCAATACACGAATATATTCGAAGGAAATATTCCTTTTTTTCACGTGTAAATTTTTTTTTTTTTTATATATATATAAATTATCTTAACAATAAAAAAAAAATAAAAAAAGAAAGAAAATTTCAATACACGAATATATTCGAAGGAAATATTCCTTTTTTTCACGTGTAAATTTTTTTTTTTTTTATATATATATAAATTATCTTAACAATAAAAAAAAAATAAAAAAAGAAAGAAAATTTCAATACACGAATATATTCGAAGGAAATATTCCTTTTTTGCACGTGTAAATTTTTTTTTTTTTTTCTATATATATATAAATTATCTTAATAATGCGATAATAAAGAAATGAATAATATAGAAATATACGGATAAAAATATTCTACGTGGATATTTTTCATTGCTATTAATGATTTCGATACGAGGAATTTTAACTGATTATTCAGGTCATCGCACCGGCATATAAAAAAATTTTCCCGAAATTGACATGACGCTAAATTGAACGGATAAGAGACTTAGTTAAAAATAAAATAAGATTTGATAGTTCGTCGAACGTATAAACAACCTGTTAATGTATAAGACTAATTGGAAAAAGAAAGTTTTCAGAAGGTCGCATATATATATATATATATATATATGCTCGTCATCCGAATATATCGAACGGACACGATCGTGTTTGTGTGTACGTGTCCCTATCGCATGGTACAAGAGAAATACGTATCTACGTTTAGCCCGAAGCAGAGAGAGTTCTCTTTTTCCTCCAAATGGGGCTATACGAACAACCGAACCATCATTACGAATTCACGTAATACGTAAAAAACGTTCATCGTGGCAAATATACACGTGTTAAACACTATGTGTGAAAATTTACGTACAAGTTTCCCTCGAACGTCGCAATGATATCGAGATACGATAACTATTGCTCTTTATGTTGGCGGTTGTTAAGAAACAATTGGATCGTTGATCGTTCGTCGATCGAAATTAATTTATTCATTAAACTCCCGTTAATCGATCGTTTCGGAAGTTAAACAAATGTCAATAACACGTGTATATATGTTTCTAAACAGGGTGGAATATTTTATGGAAAACGAGACGGACATACATGTAAATAAGTACGCTTTATCTCCATGTGGTTCATTTGATTGTGCGACGAGTTTGAAACTAACATACATGATACGCGTGACACAAGCGTTCTTGATTTATCTGAATTTTAATGGTTCCGAGAAAACGATGCTATTTTTACGATCGATAGAAATTTATCTATTGCACACGTGTACAGCTTCCAAATGGGAATTTCATGATTTATAAAAATTACAACTATGAAAATATATATTAACATTGTGATGTGTGATATCTTATATAAATATATACATACATATATACATATATATATAAAAGTATGTATTAACTTTTTATGGCAATTGCGTACTTTTTCAGGTTAGGATGATATTGTTTTGTTTTGCTTTTTTATTTCATAATTTTATTACGTTGTCTATCCCAATATATATACATATGAAGCTTGCGTTAGAATGAATACACGTGGAAAAAATAAAAACAAGAAGTTGTTGAATACGATTTATGTATCTTTGTAATATGTATTCTTATCTTATATATAATACAACGTAATATGCACACAACAACAACAAAACTTTCTTTTAAAACAAGAATATGAAATTATTCTAAAAAAATTCGATATTAGAAGAATTTTATGTCAAATAGATGACGATTTGCTTGACCGCAAAATTCATTCAAATGGCGTTTCAGCGCAAGAAAAGAGAAATCGATGAATCCCCGCTCGGATTTTCGAGGTATTACGGGTTTCCCAATATAACGTGCCAATCTACGTAAATCTACAAATCAATTTGATAAATAATTTTTAATTGTATTTTTTAGTACGCAATTTTTTTTTTTTTTTTTTCTTTTCTTTTTTTGCTTTCATAGTTTCGCTCGCGATGCATATATGCAATCGCAGCTGGAGAGCAAATGAAAAGAGATCGGATTATTAGAGAGAAGAGGCATAAGTAATCTTGTAAAGAAGGGTGGGGAGAAGAAAATATCAGGAGTGTAAGAAGAATAGAAAGAGTTGTGAGAGAAACAGAAAGAGAGAGAGAGACTACCGTTCGGAGGAAACGCGATTGCGTCAAACACGCACGCACTCACTCACTCACGCATATAGAACGCGACATGCGCGCGCGCAACACATTGAATTTGTCTTTGGTCTTCGTCAATTCCAACATCTAAACAGTGTCTACGAACAATCATGCGATCAAACAAGGTAGAATGACATAATTAACAATATACTCGAATTTTTTGGTGAAAATTATGAAAATTCGAGGTTCAAGCAACGTAATGTCCATACGGGTACACCGAGTTTTAATTTTCATGCGATTCACTCACCTTCTTTTCTCCTTGTGTTTCTTCTCTTTTTTCGGATGATCCATGGCAAGTCAAAAATTTTAGAGAAACTTTTTTCGGATGATACAATACTAGGATACTCTCGGTCACTGCCAAGGAACGTATCCAGCTTATAATCCGCCTTCACTCGTCACGAAATTCTTCGTTCCAATTGTCTCTTCCGTACTTTGTTCGTAGTAACTCCTTCCTATTCTCCCGTTATCGAAATCAATGCACCAACATACGTTCTTCACTCACTTAACGTTATGAAACGAAAACACATCATTCTTCTACACGTACGAAACGATCGACGAACGCCAAACTCATGGTGTGATGGCGATGACGATGACGATGGTGAAGCTAGTAGTAGTAGTGACTCGTTACAACAGTGGTGGTGGTAAACGACCGCGGCGTGGTGGTAGAGGTTGTATACACGAGACCGACTGTCCCAAGGGATGGAACAAAAGAGGGGAGGTCATAAAGTTGACGTCATAGCACATTGGTTCCATCTTTCTCGCAGAGAAAGATCGCACTGCCATCGGACGGCAATGACGTCAACTATCTTGTTGTCGCGGCACGAACAAATAGGACAAATTTGATATCGCATCATGAAAAAATTATCTTTCTCCTTAATTAAATCGTGCGTCATATATAAGATGGTAATTTATTAATTCGTGGAACAATTTATTGATTACAATATATACAGTATATCACCATCAGTCAACTGAAATTCAAAGAACAGAAATAAGAAATAAAAAGAAATATTAATTTAATATGTTTGAGCATCACTTTGTTCTTTAAATAAAAATAATCATTGTAAGATTACGAGATTTAAATTTTAATTTTAATTTAATTCATTAATAATATAATTTAAATATCGTGTGTATCAATTTTAAAAATTGAGAACAAAATAACGGGAGAACAATATTTAAAGATATTTTATTTCAAAAATGCTTTCTTGCACAACCTATTTCTTGTAAGAACTTTAGAAATTCTATTTTATTAAATTCTAGTAAAAATTTACTCTAACTTTGTAATGCAAATGCATTACATTTTATTTATTTACTGACGAGCAAACAATCATTCATTTAACATTAGTTTGTTCTATTCCTGTTTCGATACTAGAACTGTGAGGAACTTCTTTTACTTTTGATTCTAAATGCGTGACTTTGTTTTCATTTTCTAATTTTTTTTTATGTTCATCCATTGGATCTTCTTCGTCATCTAAATCATCTAAAGATCCTCCTTTCTTTCCGTATAACGCTGGATATTGCACCATACATGATTGCATTGTTTTAAATGCATCGTAACAATCTGAACCTTTTGGTTCTGCAGTTGAATAATGAAAACAAGAGAAAGCTTCTCGAAATTCCAAACCACACGGTCCAGTAGCCATACCTCCTAAACATGGACAATTCCAATTGATTTCTCCAGTTGCTAACAAAAGACCAGGACTTGGTTCTGGTTCTGGAAGATCTATTTTACTAGGTGTTGCATGATCTTCCTTTGAAGCAAAGATTATAGTATCTTTACCTTCCTTATGAACGAATGGCATTGTTGAATAATTAATAAAAAAAATTAATACAAAACAAAAGAATCAATATTTTCCTTTTAAAAAATGATGTAAGTGAATTAAGTTGGTTTTTCTTCAAACTTAAGTTGTTTTTATGTCCAAAATCTTTATATTTTAATGTTTATAATTCCTACTATCAGCACAAAATGATAATAAATTTGGTGAAGCACGATGAATAATATAAGTGCAACGTTGTCCTTCGTATTTTTCACTTAAGGTTAATGCTGCTCTTAAACGTACATAACAATCATCAGTGCACCTTAAAACACATCTAAGTTCTTTTGGATTATATTTCAGGATATCAATAGTATACTTAGTTCCTTCTTCACCAAATAATTGTTTTATTGACTCAAGAATGTTTTTCTTTAAATAAACTCTTGACACTTCAAGACCAGGATTATGTGGTAATATTCTAAAAACAAAAAAAAGTTCTTTTATAAAAAATCTTCCAAATAATTAAAAGATATAATAATTACAATTGTTATATAAAAATATATGATAAATAGTGTAAAAATTGCAAATGAAGAATTATTACATCTGATTACGTAGGAAATTACGAATTTTATGTAATCATAAAAATAACAAACATGAAATTATGAAAGAAAAAGATAATATTTCCTTGAAACTATGTACTTTTTATAGTGCATATATTTAACTTAATCGTATTTAACTGTTTACTTTGAGTTTTATTCATATAGATCGTTCTCGAAATTTAGGTTAAGTTATGTGCATGAATAAAAATTTAAAAACTAATTGAATGTACTAACAGAGAAACGTCTAAATAATACATAGTACACTTAACACCAACTCCCGACTCACATTTAATATTCACGAATTTAAGCACGTTTGAAGATGTTTCGTACAAATATTACGGCATTTCACTCATGCCTTTCTCGTAGAGAGCAGCCACATTATGCGATCCATAGATGGCGCTCTGAGTATCTGATATCTAAATTTTTATTTTCAAATAATTATTGAATTAATTGTATGTAATAAAAATATAATATATAATATAGAAAAATAGAAAAAAATTATTTTTTGTTTTCAAAAGTACATGATACTATAAAATTATTTAAAGATGAATTTTAAAAGAACGATGTACCTCGATATAATCATCCAATGAAATTATTGGATTCCTAGGAAATATTTCCATAATATTGCTAGTAATAAATACAAGGTGGTCGATGCATTAGCATCCTATGAAATCCTGCAAGACATTAGGGTGAATAAGGAACCTATCGCTATAAACCTGAAAATTTTTATATGTCAATATAAAAAATAATTAATCTTCGTTATACTTTGACAATAATGATATCTAAATATTTGTAATCTTAGTTTATAATCTTTCAATCATTTTTAAAACTGCATATATATTATAATTTTTTTTACAAAACAATCGTTTATTCCAAGTATTTCGATATATATAGTTCTCTTAATAATATTTCGATATAATTTTTAATATATTAGCAACGATAAATAAAATTTATTTTTAAAAATTTTTAGAGAAATTATTTTTATTGAACTTAAAAATGCAATTTCTTCGCGGTCAATGGTAATATCAATATCCAAGGTTAAAAGTTATCAAAAAAAGAACTTTAAACTTTTATTAAAGGTACATTCTTATAATATTTTAATAGTTTTCTAGATGAAAAAATAAAAAATTAATTATTAATATCTATTTTTCACAAGATTATATTCTTATTTCCAAAAGAAAGATATCATAATAGTAACCTAATATTGATTGGAACGCGTGGGAAGAACGAAAGTGCATTAGATTTCGTACTTGCTGCAATATCAATACTCCTCTTTCGGCGCTTGGAATATCTAATCTTCTCTTCTCAATGTCAATTGATTTTGACAACTCTAAAGATGTTCAAATATACGTTCGAATATAAAATCTGTAAAAAAAATTTGAGTTACCTGGAGCGTTATAGCGAATCGTTGCCCGATTGTTAACTCAGCAATTGAACCAAGACTCTTGTGCTTATCCTTTTCACTGTTCCATGTGGGTCCTGAATACGGGGCCTTCGCATAGGCGTAACGCGTTGAGAATATGTATAGAACAAAATCATATGGCCGAAAAATTTTTATTTTGAAATATAAACATGAAAAGTTTATTGTCAAATATACTATCGTATAATTAATTCGATAACGATATATTCATTATTTCGCATACAAATTGTATACGTAAGAATTAATTCAATGACGCAGAGATGGAAACACTTCGACTATTTCATCTTTCATTTTTCAAAAATATTTTAATAATGGATATACGCAGTTGTATTTCCTATAAATGTTTAAAATATCAAGTAAAAATTTGCGAATAAAAAAGATATCCTTTATTGTTCGTTTAAAAAACGAACAAGTTAAAAAGAGAATGGTACATATACGATGGTCGGAATGTATGGCGTACCAACTTGCGGTACGCTAAAAGGAAATCGCAGGAACATGTGAAAATTTGCGGCTCGAAAATATCGATGCGCTTCACGTAGCTTACACTCTCTGACCATCTCTCTAGTCCTTGATGCACTTGGTAATGCAATCAAACCGGACTTCTTTCATTTAAGGAGACGATCGATGATACGAAACTTGAAACGCGCGCGTATACATCGAAAGTTTCGAGCCCTAATTTCGTTTGCATTTTTGCTTTGTGCGCGACATGTCAGTTTTGTCAAAAAAAAAAAAAAAAAAAAAAAATTTATTATACACGAAAGTACGAAGATAAGTGCATATTATACACGTAATGATACGTGCCAAACTTATTTATACCAGAGTGATTTTCCAAATTACAACATCCTACACGCGTCTTTTTTTATTACGTATGAATCGATCCAACTTTATGAGAAAACTCAGGAAGTTTTGTTAAAAAATACGTTCCATGATATGTGTCTGTAAAACGTTGCAGAGTAATCTACAATTCCCCGTGGCAACTATAATTCCGTATCGAGTTCGATAGAAGCGTGTCATCGAATACAATAGAAGACTAATGACGTCATGGCAAGTATACTACGGAAAGTGGCGTATTTCGCCGGAATATCATGAATAACAAAGAATCGTAAAGTCATCGTATTTATACGGTTGTATTTAATCGCAAGCTTGTCGATAATTTTAGAGAAAAGAAAATAAAAAGAAAAGGAAGTATTTTCAACAAATTGTTCCATTGCGATAGGGGACATTATCGAGCGAGGCCATGGCGCACACTGAAAAAAACAATACCAGCTATCAGACCGAAGGAATGTTAAATAGAATGAAACGTCATGACAAAAATAATGGCAACAAAAGGCTGAAATTGCACCAGGAAGCGTGGTTCCTGTATTTCATTGTGGCCGCCGGGGTCGCACACCTTTCGTATGCAAGTTTATTCAGTTCAAATAGGAGAGGTTACGCGCTCAAAGGTTAAAAGATTTTGCATTTAATTATGTTTAAACGCTTTTAAAATAAATACGATAGCCTGTGACGTTCTTTTTTTTTTTCTTTCTTTCTTTCTTTCTTTCTTTCTTTACGACGTAGAAAGTAATTCGGTGTCCAAGATAACATAAGATCGCACGTAATTTATTTGACGAGCGCGTGCGCGTTACGCAATCCGTCGAGAATAAGGAAAACGGAAGAAGACGGCGAGAATATAACAACGAAAATAAGAAGATTCCCGGTGATCATTAAACTTCGTACACGAGCCGCCAATGGACTGGTTCTCCTTGACGATACGCACGCGTCATATTGCCGTTAGTAAAATTTGTCGATTCAGTTCTCAGTGAAAATCACTGTTACATACGGTTCCCCCTTCTTCCTGTTTCCTTCCACTTTTACGATAGGAGACAACACAACGCGTGTCTTTCTTCCTACGGCACGTAGAGAGAGAGAAATTCTTCTCTATAACGCGTATTTTGCATAGGCAAATTTGATTAACACGAAAAGCAGTAGTAGCTGGAACGAAGAAATAAATAGTATCGAAGTTGTTTTAACATGAAATATAAATATATTTGGGTGGTATTGTACAGTCAGTGATTCGTTCGTATATACAGAATTATGTACATGCCGAACACTACATCCTCGAATACTCTGCGCGTAAATTCACACATACATACGTTTGACGAATCGATCAACCCACACGTGTTTTTGAAATAGTCATCCATTCATCTGGATCCACGCATCCATCTCATCCATTTCTTGGATCCGCAAATATCTCGTTCTTTCTTTCTTTCTTTCTTTCTCTCACGCTCTGGGTTTTCATTTTTATTATCCAGTGTTTCTTATAAGTCGAACGGTATTTTATTTTATTTTATTTTATTTTATTTTACTTTATTTTTTTTTTTTTTTGGCGGTCGTTTACAATTTCAAGTGTTGCGATTAATTAG